TTTTAGATAATAACTGTTGTACTCTAGCCAAACCCCACAGAAAAAAAAAATGTGGCCTCACCCTACCAGCAAAAGCTGATAGGGAAGCCTAGACTTCCACCCTTGCCAGCTCTAAATTGAGGGCTGAGGTGTCCTGAGGCACCCCAGCCCTCACCACTGGGTAGTGTCGCAGAAAACTGAGTCGGGAGCCAAGGCTTTCATTTCTGCTGCGTAGTAACAAAAGCCTCCACCCCAACCCCATGTAAGTAGAAACCACATGCAGAACCTGGGTTTCTACTCTCCCCAATTCTTGACGGTAATAAGGAGCCCTTTTCCTCTCCGACTGTGGAGGTGTCAGTGGACATCATGTGGGAACCAGAAACACTGCTTCTCCCAGCCAGTAAGTATTGTTGGAGACCCGATGGAGAGCCGGAACTCCCACCCCTACCTAGCAGTAAGAATGCATCAGCCTCAGGTATCAGGGGAGGTGTAGTAGGGAACCTGATTCTACCCCAGTCATCAGGATAACCAGCAATAATAACACAGTCTCCCCATTCCCTTGTTGGAGTGGTAACAGAGGAAAGCAACTAAAATAGAAAGTTTAAGTAAGATCCAGAGTCTCATAACGTAATACCCAAAATGTTTCAATGAAAAAAATCACTTGCTATACCAAAAACCAGAAAGATCTCACAATGAATGAAGAAAAAAAAAAGGCAGTCAACAGAGGCCAGCACCAAAATGACAGGGATGTTAGACTTGTCTGCTAAGGATTTTAAAACAGCCATCATAAAAATGCATCATTGAGGAATTCTGAACATGCTGGATGCAAATGACAAAATAGAAACTTCAGGAAATAAATAGGAAATATAATGAAGAACCTAGTGAGCATCTTAGAACAGAAAAATACAGTAACCAAAATAAAAATCTCAGTGCATGGGCTGGACAACAGAATGCAGGGGTCAGGGGAAAGAATCAGTAAAGAGAGAACCATCAAAATTATTCTGTCTCAACACTAGAAAGAAAATAGAATATAGAGCCTCAAGGACCTGTGGAACTACACTTGACATCTATCTCTTGTGTCATTAGAGTCCCTTAAGCATAGGAAGAGGGAGGGGCTGGAAAAGTACTTGAGAAATCATAGCTGAAGACTTGCCACATTTAACAAAAGACTGAACCCTACAGATAAAAGGAGATGAGCACAGTAGGCCGAATAATGGCTCCCCCACCAATGATGTTCACGTCTTGATTCCCAGAACCAGTGAACCAGGTTCTTTTTTTATTTTTATTTTTTAATGTGGTAAAAGGGATTTTGCAGAGGTAAGTAATTTCAGGATTTTTTTTTTTTTTTCTTTTCGAGACAGAGTCTTGCTCTGTTGCCCAGGCTGGAGCACAATGGCACAGTCTCGGCTCACTGCAACTTCTGCCTGCTGGGTTCAAGTAATTCTTGTGCCTCAGCCTCCCGAGTAGCTGGGACTACAGGCGTGTGCCATCATGCCTGGTTGATTTTTGTATTTTTAGTAGAGATGGGGTTCCGCTGTGTTGGCCAGGCTGGTCGTGAACTCCTGACCTCAGGTGATCTGCCTACCTTGGCCTCCCAAAGTGCTGGGATTACAGGCGTGAGCCACTGCACCCAGCCAAGGATTTTGAGATACAGCAGTTGCACTCCTCAGCATTTAATTCCAGAGAAATAAAGATACATTCTCACAAAAACCTGTGTATTAATGCTTATAGCAACCTTATTTGTAATAGTCAAAACTGAAAATAACTCAAATGTCCTTTAATGGATGAGTGGCTAAACAAACCAGTACATCCGTATCATGGAATACTACTACATAATAAAACAGAGGAGCTATTGATATATGCAACAGCTAGTGTGAATCTCTAGAGAGCCATGCTGTGTGAGTAAGGCCAGTCCCCAAAAACCAGAAAGATCTCACAATGAATGAAGAAAAAAAAAAGGCAGTCAACAGAGGCCAGCACCAAAATGACAGGGATGTTAGACTTGTCTGCTAAGGATTTTAAAACAGCCATCATAAAAATGCATCATTGAGGAATTCTGAACATGCTGGATGCAAATGACAAAATAGAAACTTCAGGAAATAAATAGGAAATATAATGAAGAACCTAGTGAGCATCTTAGAACAGAAAAATACAGTAACCAAAATAAAAATCTCAGTGCATGGGCTGGACAACAGAATGCAGGGGTCAGGGGAAAGAATCAGTAAAGAGAGAACCATCAAAATTATTCTGTCTCAACACTAGAAAGAAAATAGAATATAGAGCCTCAAGGACCTGTGGAACTACACTTGACATCTATCTCTTGTGTCATTAGAGTCCCTTAAGCATAGGAAGAGGGAGGGGCTGGAAAAGTACTTGAGAAATCATAGCTGAAGACTTGCCACATTTAACAAAAGACTGAACCCTACAGATAAAAGGAGATGAGCACAGTAGGCCGAATAATGGCTCCCCCACCAATGATGTTCACGTCTTGATTCCCAGAACCAGTGAACTGTTGTACTCTAACCAAACCCCACAGAAAAATGTGGTAAAAGGGATTTTGCAGAGGTAAGTAATTTCAGGATTTTTTTTTTTTTTCTTTTCGAGACAGAGTCTTGCTCTGTTGCCCAGGCTGGAGCACAATGGCACAGTCTCGGCTCACTGCAACTTCTGCCTGCTGGGTTCAAGTAATTCTTGTGCCTCAGCCTCCCGAGTAGCTGGGACTACAGGCGTGTGCCATCATGCCTGGTTGATTTTTGTATTTTTAGTAGAGATGGGGTTCCGCTGTGTTGGCCAGGCTGGTCGTGAACTCCTGACCTCAGGTGATCTGCCTACCTTGGCCTCCCAAAGTGCTGGGATTACAGGCGTGAGCCACTGCACCCAGCCAAGGATTTTGAGATACAGCAGTTGCACTCCTCAGCATTTAATTCCAGAGAAATAAAGATACATTCTCACAAAAACCTGTGTATTAATGCTTATAGCAACCTTATTTGTAATAGTCAAAACTGAAAATAACTCAAATGTCCTTTAATGCATAAGTGGCTAAACAAACCAGTACATCCGTATCATGGAATACTACTACATAATAAAACAGAGGAGCTATTGATATATGCAACAGCTAGTGTGAATCTCTAGAGAGCCATGCTGTGTGAGTAAGGCCAGTCCCAAATGGCTACATGTAACATGACTCCATTTATATAACATACTTTAAGTGATAAAATCGTACAGATAGAGATGAGATTCATGATTGCTAGGAGTTAAGGATGTGGTGGGGCAGGAGGGAAGTGGGTGGGCCTACAGAAGGGCAACATGAGTAATACTTGGTGATGGAAGTGTTCTATATCTTTCCTCTATTAATGTGTATACCTTAGTTGTAATATTGTACTATAGTGTTTCAAGAAGTTACCAGTGAGGGAAACTGAGCAGTGGGTACGTGAGATCCCTCTTTATTATAAGTAACGGCTTGTGAATCTATAACTAAAATTTTAAAATTTAATTTAAAAACTAAAATAACTTTTTAAAATTTCTTGTAACTACATCAATTTGAAAACACAATGCTGTATCATATATAAAGAACTTTGCATATCCAAGTTCAGAAAGATGTTAGTACAAAGTTGCCTCTTCTGAAGTCTGTTTTTTTGTTTTTTTTTTTTTTTTAATTTGCTTGGGGATTGGGAAGGAAGGTGAGGGATTCTGTTTTATCAATCATATATGTTAAAAATAGATAATATTTGTTAACTCCTAAACACCCTGTGAGGTCAGCATTATTGTAAAGAAAAACACACTGAGACACAGGGAGGTGGAATATTTGCCCTGATGAGTAGTGAGGCCACATTTGGACTCAACAGTCTGGTCCCAAAGTCTGCATCCTTTCTTAGTGACTATACTCTTTGGCCTATCTACGTAGACTATTAGTATCCAAGTATCTTTCCACAGCAGGACATTCACCTCAGAAAGTTTAAGCACTTTTCCTAGGTCACAGAGTCATAGCTGTGGGACTGAAAGTCAAGACCTTTCCTATCAAAATCCCATCCTGCTCACACCTGGGAGAAGCCATATTCCAAATGGCCCTCAGACCTGATCCTCAAGCATATTTTGTCTGCCCACTTAGTGCTGGGCAGTAGATTATTCACATTAGCCGTATATATTTAGACATTGTGAGATATATAAAAATCCAGGCTTCTAGCTTCTCAGGAAAAATAAGAAAATCTGCCAACACTGGGTTTACATTCTAAATTCTCCCAAAGGAGTTAGATATAGGATGTTTAGGGACTGCCTCTTTAATTGAGATTGTTTGCCTCTCTCCTTACCACTCCTTACCCAGAGACCACAGCCAACCATCAGCTGGTTTTTATTGCACAACACTGTTGTTTTTCTTAGAGTAGAGGAAATGCCTCTGCCCACCTCACACCAAACAAATCATGGCTTTTACGTTTTACCTTTTATCTTGGCAATTTGGGTGGTTATATTCTTCCTGATTATAAACTACTTAAAGTTATATTTCTGAAAATCTCCATTATTAGTGGATTTGCAGTTATTAGACTCAAGACTCCCATAGAATTGAAGGTGCTGAAATCACTAGTCCGTTGATGAAGACTAGTCACTAAAACAAATAGGCATACAGGAAATAGAATATGTCTCCTCCAATATTTCTTAAATTAGAAATTATGAGTATTGCACAGTCACTCTGTTTATCGCTATAATTGCTTTAACATTCCTTTCTAGAGACTTTCTAGTAGTTTATCTGGAGATTCAATGAGGTGCTTATAAATTGATTTTGTGCCAGGTGCAGTGGCTCATGCCTATAATCCCAGCACTTTGGGAGGCCTTGATGGGAGGATCACTTGAGCCCAGGAGTTTGAGACCAGCCTGGGCAAGATGGCAAAACTCAACCTCTACAGAAAATTTTAAAAATTATCCGGGCATAGTGGTATGTGCCTATAGTCCCAGCTACTTGGGAGGCTGAAGTGGGAGAATCACTTGAACCTGGGAGGTTGAGGCTACAGTGAGCCATGGTCGTGCCACTGTACTCTAGCCTGAGCAACAGAGCGAGACCCTGTCTCAAAGTAAATAAATAAATGAAATAAATTGATTTTGCTTCTTGGCATGTGATATGCATAATAATAATAAATATTTCTTCTCTGTCTGGCTTTCTACTGAAGTATTTTCGGTTCTACAGTTCAAGGCCCCTCCACCCCTATTGGCCTTTCTCTTAAGGGGCCCAACTCTGAGTGTCTCTCCTGAGTCTCATATGCTCAGTGTGAAATAGTTGACCAAGTAGGAAATGGAAGTAAAGAATTTCGCAGAAGGGGAATTTGCCATGAGGGAAGGGTTAATAAGTTATTCCTGTTGATAGCCTTTGCAGTGCCTGGCACATTCTCGTTAGAGTAGACGCCCAGAAGTGAAATGATTATGTTTGACGTTGAACTCCTAAGTAATTCATATTGTCTGAGGATAATAATCCTGCAAATTATATTACAGTCAGAAGTGTTTTTGGTTTTTTCTTTCCAATCGAGGAGTAGATGACTGGAGGCTGCCTTGTTTGCGTGAGTGGTGTTGGGATGACCTTCCAGGCTGGGCATGTGATTCCTGAAGAAGTGGCTACTTGTTGGCTCCCGTATGAATGCAGAAACTAGCGTTTGAGCTGATAGGAAGTAAGAGGGGGGAATCAGAGAATGGAGAGGCTGCTTGGGATGGAATCTGTAGACTCTTCCTGTCCGACCTCTGGTTGCTAATCTGTGTTATCGTTACTGGAAGGGGAGGCCTGCGAAGGTTGAGTCCTGGCTAGGATTTCACCAGACCAGGAGATCAGTGACTTCTTAGCTTATAATTCCACTGTAGGTGGAACTCTAGCATTTGCAGGCAAGATGGAAGATAAGGAAGTGGGTGAAGGGGTGAAAAATGAAATAAATATTGAATAAAGCACCTGTACTCTGGAACCAGACTGTGTGTTTTTAGTTTCTGCCTCATTCTGCCATACTACTGTGTAACCTTGAGCAAATAAGTGATCTTTGAATGTTTCAGTTTCCTCGTGTGTGAAATGGGAATAATAATAGTGTTTCCCTCCTAGTGTAAACAGCCAGTAAGTAGCAGCACCTCTGCACTGGACAATTTTTTTTTTTTTTTTGGTCAATTGCTCTTTTTATTCTGTACCTACAATGTCATCTAAATAGCCTGTCCCTTAGTGTATGGAGTCAGGAGCCTAAGAAGAAATTTCGAGAAAATAAGGAAGGATAAAGGAATAATAAGCAAGGATAAAGGATTGCCTGCATTTGAGATCCTTGTCAATGTGTTTTCTCCAAAGAAAACGTGTCTGTTTTCCAAAGAAACATAGACATTTCTCTTTGGAGAACCTGTTTCCAACCTTAGATGATTTTTCAGATTCAGTCTGTGTGCTAAACCCAAATCTTCTCATTTCCAAAGTACATCTGTTTATGACTTATAATATGTTAGGAAGGTATTTTGCCCTGGTGAAGAAGGCCTTAGTTCTTATCCCTACTTAACTAAGGTATAGAGAAGAAAAACCTTCAAATTTCAATGAAATTGATTGACCTCAATTCTTTCTAGATATTTGTCTACCAAATGTCTTTAGTAGTAGGTTTTAATACTTTTGCAGCTGATTTTATTAAACAGATTAAAAGTTTAAGCCCACTTAACTCAATAAAAAAGTATATGAAAAGTCACATACAACTAAGTACTTCAAACCCAGAAACTCTGGCACTGAAGGAGATAAACTAGCAGACACCTTCTATATACTTTCCTACTTCTGTACCTCAAGACGTTTGCTGAGTACATTTATAACAATGACCATGTCAGAAATAATACATGGATTTTTATTGATCCATTTCATTTACGTGGGTTTGATCCCAAATAATAGGATGATGTTCTCTTATGAAGGTCATGCCTTGAGGGAGAGGAGTAAGTAAGCCTGTCCCATTCTCACTCTCTTTGATAGGGTGGTCTCTCCCAGGGTTTATTTAGGAAGTGATGGGACACAGGTCAGTCTGTCCTTGTCTCTAACCAATCTGAACATTTCGTTTTCAGCAAAATTTTCATATTATTTTCAAACCATTTCTCCACATCTTGTGTTATTGAATTGGTTAATCTCTGCTGTTTTTAAGGTATATCTTCTTCAAGACAGCATTTTTCTTTTATATCCAACAAATTCCTTTCAGATTTCTAAATGTTAAAAAAAAAAAAAACTTAGTTGTGGACAAAAGTACAGCCAATCTCTTTACACCTAAAGAAATTAATGTTTTTTCCATAAAAGTTATCATGTTAAGAGGGTGACGATTAGTATTCAAATGTGAGTGAGGAAAAGAATAAAGACTGAGGCAAACAAATATTACCATTATTGCAGTGTTCCCTGCAATCTATGGGTTGTTATTTATTTACAGTTTTGTTCCCATAGGCCCACAGAAGAGAAATGCAAAGAGGAGTACTCCTGAAGGAGAAGAGGCTGTAGAAGGTTGGAATAGAGAGCAACAAATCCCAGGTCAGGGTATGGAAGGGCTTACAAATCACTTAGCCTGTCTGGGTCCCAAACTTTCTCAACTCCAAAATGAAGCAGTTGACCTTGATGGTTCTCTAGTTGGTGCCTCTTAGACTTTAATGCACATCCTGTTAAATGTGCAGATTCTGACTCAGTAGGTCTGGAGCGAGGTCCAGGGTTTGCCTTTCTAATGAGTTCCTGGGTGGTGCCAATGCTGCTGGTCTGCAGATCACACACTGTTTAGCAAGCTCTGCACGATTTCTAAGCTCAAGCTTCCATTAACTGTACGATTCTATGAACGTGCAGTCGGCTGACATTTTAGAAAAGACAGGAAGGTTTCATGAAACATGCCTACCATGGTATTAAGCATTCTTATTCTTCATAATCATCTTCATCAAAAACTCTTTAAGTGCCTAATTATGCATAACAGCTTCCCATGCTTTACAGAAGAACTAAGTAGATTTGGTCTTTGCCTTATCAGACTTGACAACCTAAGACAGAGAAATATGCCTAGAGACAATAATAAATATTGAGGCGGTAATAAATATTGAATAATAAATGTTCACCCAGATATAGAACACAATAAAATTTTTAAAAAGTATGTACTTAGCATGGGCCCTAGGATATTTATTTTCTTACAGCTTGTCTTCCTTTCAAAATCTGAGGAACCAAAGAAGTTGCCCTATAATTTTTACATAAAAGCAAGAGATTTCTCTTTCTATTTTGCAGATGGGGGTTGGAAATGGGAAGATCAGTTTCTCAGGCTACTTTTAATGTTGTCGTTTGCTCTGTTTTGGCCTCACTGACTTAAAAAGAAATATTTTATTAGCCCTGAACGCCTAACCCTGATTACCATATGCAGATGCCTTGGCTAGACTTTGTGCTTCTCAGCACTGTATGTGTACATAGGCTTATTAAATTAACCTCAGCTCCTCCTACCCAAGAACCGCAGGCCCATCTAGTCACCCTCACACCATCCTTGGGAAGCAAAGGAGGCAGAGCTGGACATTGTTCTCTCTGAATCATGGGCTGTTAGGTGATGCTGAGAAGGAAACTGGTGTGTCCAAAGCCTTGTGATAATTCACATGGGAAGCTTTGGATTTGGTTCTGTTTCTTCTGTACACATTTGCATTTGCTGAACTGACCTGAGGACTTGATCTGCCTTGGTGTGGGAAAGGATCAGATAAGAGGTCATTGCTGGCATTTTCTCCTGACAGCAAAACAGGTTCTGTTCCTGGAGGCCAGGTGACCAACCAACAGAGATTGTGTTCAGGTACCCATGGTGATGAGCCAGTTTGTTATAACTGTACCGCAGGTTAGCAGAGTGATGCCAAGATGGCTCATTTCATTGATTGTTGTAGCTTAGCAAGAGCTACAAGAATTATCACAGATCTAGAAAATGGTCACATCTAAGCAAGGGTCTCTGTATCAGATATTTACCAATAGTGAGATTAGAGACCCTTGTTTACACCTTCTCAACTTAAGTAGGCACATATAATATTTAGTAATGACTATGTGTATGCTCAGAGATGTGGGAATGTGGAGGGAGCTGTGTGTGCCACACTCTTGGGCTTTAGCTGTGTGTTATCCTGTGTATGTGCATGAGGAGTCGCTGTGGAATCAGGTGCACTTGGGTTTGAAACTTGGCTCCACCACTCACTGGCTGTGTCATTTCACATTTCTAGGCCTCAGTTTCCCCATCTGTAGGACCAGCATAACAATAGTATGAATCCCATAGAATTCTTGTGAGCATTAAATAAGATGAGGATGTATGGAATGTATAGCATGGTGTCTGCAAATAGTACTTGATGATTATTAGTAATTGTAGTAAAACTCATACGTGACAGCATCTGAAATCATTTGTCTTGAAAGAAGCTAAAGATTCTAAATTATTTCACATGCAAGTGTTTGTACAGGAGGTTGTGTCTGGGTTCATGAAAATATCACACTCTTTTTATTAGGAGTAAAGATTGTAAGGAGGCAAAGCCTCCATTAGCTAGACTCAACCTCTTCTTTCACTCTAATGTCATATACAACTGTTTTCTCTTTTTTATAAAATTATAAAGAGGCAAGTCAGTCTACTCATACTAGAAGATACAAAACCCTGAATAATTATTATAGCAGGAAGCTAAACTTCTAAAAAGCCACAAATGGCAATACTATACATTTTGCATTAGTGTCTTGGAATAGATCTATATGGGCACATGGAATTACACAGGCTGAATTGGGGACACTAAGTATCTGGTTGCCTTCTCGCAGGCAAACTGGAGTGGAAATGGGTACCTGGTTGCAGGAAGTAAGGAGGTCTCTTTTGCCTACAGACAGGGAGGGAAAGCTAACCAACATTTAGAGGAGCAGCGTTCTTTGGGAAATTGAATTTCAAGCCCGCTAACCATATCATAAGACTGCAAGGCCTGGCAGAACAAGAGCATCAGGCAGCTGGATGGAAACCCAAGAAACCAAAATGAACAATTTAAAGTGGAGCTGTTTGAAGGGGAAACAGAGCCCCAGGGAATTTCCTAACCTCAGAATGCTATTCACTAGCCCTTTTTTATAGGGTGTCTGTGGCTTCTGGTTGCCTGCAAATTGAGCCAGCATGGTGCAGATGTGACAGTGGTTTAAGGCTGTTTTTCCCCGAATTTAGTGTGAATCACCTGGGGATCTTATTAGAATGCAGAGTCTGACTCAGTAGATCTGAGGTAGGATCTGAGATTCTGCCATTTTTAACAAGTCCCCAGATATTGCAGAAGCTGCTGGTCCTGGGGCCATACTTTAAGTAGCAAGTGCCTAATCCACTCTCTCCCCAACCATTCCATCCTCTGATCACCACCTTCTGTCTCCTATCCTCTGTACCTTAACTCCAACCATTCATGGCCCACCAGTACTCACCATCCAGTGATCCCACTAATTTTCATTGTCTGCCACCTCTCCAGTTCTCCTTTCCTAGTTATCCAGCTTAGATCCCATGATCTCGTGTTATAATCATTCTTTTGCATCCACTCTCAGGTTCTTTGCTGCTCCCTCTTTCGTCATGATCCTCACTGGCAAAACCCTGACCCTGCGTAACACAGCTCTCTCCCCATGCCACATCTTCACCTACACTGGTGAGTGCGGCTGAAGGAGCACACATCACTGTGCACACAGGTTCCACTTTCATCTCAGCAGGTCCCTGTGCTGCTATTCTGTTTACTCTTCCCCTTTTCTGGATCATCTTCTTGTGCCCTCTCCTCAAACCTCAAATACCTCCCTCTCCATCCTCATTCTCAGCTGGTAATCTTGCTACCTTCCCTGGATCACATGTCTGCACGTGTGCCCACACCTGGCCAGTGCTCCCCTGCAGTAGGCATGGAAGCACCAGGCGTGCTGTAGCTCTCTGAGGGGTGCCCAAGGTGGGCACATGGAGGGGCCAGTGGAACCAGCCCCTTCTGACCTGCCTCACCCCAACCTTCAGGTCTGTGCTCAACCAACATTTTCTCAGTGATGCCTTTCCTGACTCCCCAACTCAAAGCAGTGCCCACTCCCCAGGCAGTTGCTACCCCCATAGCGCCTCTGTGGTTTTCTTCAGTGATGATCACTACTGTTCTGCTAGATGGTGGGTTTGTTTCCCACCTCCACTAGAAAGATCCATGAGGATAGGGAATTTTGTCTTGGTCAATATCGAAACCCCCACCTAGAATAGTGGCTGACACATGGACATTCTCCTTAAAGAAGGTATTTGGATAGATACTAGCATGGGAGATGTGACTGTGTTTGGACAGAATCAGAAAAAGCCAACTAGGAAGAACTGCATGTCCACACATGTTTTTAAAAAGCCACTCCCGATCTTTTTGAGTAGACAAGGCTAAGGAAGATCCCTGTTCAAGGATGCTTTTGGACCTGAATGTGCTGGATTTACTAGAGATTGTTGAGCGCACCAGGCCCTTCGGGGATCAGGAGGGGAAAGGACCAACATCAAATTCCATCTGAGAATCCTGTCCCTTGTCTCATTTGATGCTCTCAGAGAGGTTGGTAGTGTAAGTTAGGATGTAACCACCCGACACTGCTCTGCACTCCACAGCGTTGTCATCCTCACTTAGGACACTAGCAGACTGTAACCAGTTCCATTTTACAAATCTGCAGGCTAAATATAGCTAATTCTCTGTAGTTTGAGGAAAAGAGATATATCATGGTTATGCCTAGGACTCCATGTGGGTCAATCATGATGAAAACAACCACAGGACAAGTTGGCAGTGGAAATGTCCTAAGATATCACAGAATGAAGTTGATTGCCATGAAAATGTGTTGTGCTGCCAATCCTATTCAACATAGTATGAGAAGTTCTGTCCAGGGCAATCAGGCAGGAGAAAGAAATAAAGGGTATTCAGTTAGGAAAAGAGGAAGTCAGATTGTCCCTGTTTACACATGACATGATTGTATATTTAGAAAACCCCATCGTCTCAGCCCAAAATCTCCTTAAGCTGGATAGAAACTTCGCAAAGGTCTCAGGATCAATGCAATGTGCAAATCACAGATCCCTATATATCCAATAGGGACAACAGGAGAGCCCAAATCTGGTGACTTGCATTCCACTGGCTTCAAGGAGGAATAAAATACTTAGGATTAACTACAAGGATGTTGAAGGCCTCTTCAGGGAACCTAAAAACCACTGCTTAGTGAATGAAGAGGACCACAAACTGGAGGAACCCCCATTCATGCTTCATGGATAGCGGAGAATTCAATATGTGAAATGGGCCATACCGGCTAAGGTAATTTATAGATTCAGTGCCATCCCTATCAAGCTACAAATGACTTTCTTCACAGAATTGGAAAAAACTACTTTAAAGTTCATATGAAACCAAAAAAGAGCCCACATTGCCAAGACAATCCTAAGCCAAAAGAACAAAGCTGGAGGCATCATGCAGCCTGACTTCAAACTATGCTACAAGGCTACAGTAACCAAAACAGCATGGTACTGGTATCAAAACAGAGATATAGACTGATGGAACAGAACAGAGCCCTCAGAATTAATACCACACATCTGTAACCATCTGATCTTTGACAAACCTGACAAAAACAAGAAACGGGGAAAGGATTCCCTATTTAATAAATGGTGCTGGGAAAACTGGCTAGCCATATGAAGAAAGCTGAAACTGGATCCCTTCCTTACACCTTATTACAAAATTTAATTCAAGCATGGTTTGGCTTAATGTTAGGACTAAATCTGAAAACCCTGAAGAAAAACCTGGCCATACCTGCGCACATAGGGCATGCCAAGGCTTATGTCTAAACACAAAGCAAGGCAACAAAGGCGGAATGAACAATGGGGATCTATTAACTAAGAGGCTTCGCCTGCAAAACACTACCAGTCAGAGTGCACAGGGGCAACCTACAGGAATGGGGCGGAACATTTTTGCAACTTCTCCCATCTGATCAACAGGGCTAATATCCAGAACACTATAGAGTTTAATATTACAGAAAAAAGTCAAACAACCCCTAAAATTGTGGCAACAGGATATGAAACAGACCCTTCTCAAAAGAAGATTTATGCAGGCAACGATGCATGAAAAAAATGTCATTCATCAGCTGGGCCTAGAAATGCAATGAAACCCGCATGGATTTACCATTCCACCAGGTTAGGAATGCATCATTAAGAAGTCCGGAACACAGTCCCTGGAGGAGGATATTTGGAAGAAATAGGAACCATTTTTACACTGTTGGTGGGACTGTAAATAGTTTAGCCATTGGTGGAAGGAGTTGTGGCGATTCATCAAAGGGTCTAGAACAGGAATCCATTTGGACCAGCCATCCCATTCTGTGTAGTATACCCAAAGGTTTATAACTCTTGGTGCATAAAGGGGACACTGCACACATTATGGTTTATTGTGTACTATTACACTTACAGGACTTGGACCCAACCCGATGTCCATCAATGATAGAGTGGATTAGGAACAATGTGGACTATACACGTGGATCTATTGCAGTCATAAAAGGAATGAGTTTCAAGTCCTTTGTGGGCCATTGGATGGGAAGCTGGGAAACCCATCATTCTGAGAAACTCACAAGGCCGAACCAACGCCAGCATTTTTCCATTCGATATGTGGAATGAACCAATGAGTGCACTTGGACACGAATGGGAAATCAACCCCAGGGCTGTGTGGGGGTGGAGAATGGAGGATACATTAGGAGTGATGCCTATGTCAAATGGTGGTTAATTGGGTGCAGCACACCAACATGGGCCACTATGTTGTACACATATTTGATATACATATGGTACCACTGCATTTGTTGACGCATGTACCTGCTTAAAGTATATAATATAAGAAAAGAAGGAAAGAAAATGTGCTGATATTCTCTCAAGGAGTTCAGGTGTTCGTTCTATCTGAGTGTGAAGGAAAGGCATATTCTCATTATTTTTTTTATTGGTGAAGAGTTCTGCCTTTTTTTTTTTTTTTTTTTTTTTTTTTGAGACAGAGTCTCGCTTAGTCGCCCAGCTGCTGGGAGTGCTGTGGCGCGATCTCGGCTCTCTGCAAGCTCCGCGCCCGGTTCACGCCATTCTCCTGCCTCAGCCTCCCGAGTAGCTGGGACTACAGGCGCCCGCCGCCTCGCCCGGCTAATTTTTTGCATTTTTAGTAGAGACGGAGTTTCACCGTGTTAGCCAGGATGGTCTCGATCTCCTGACCTCGGGAGAGTTCTGCTTTTAATAACATTGTCAGCATGCACTAAATCATTGCTTCTCAAGGTTTAGAGCTGCTGTGACGCAGAGAAAAGCACAGGGTGTTTTGTGCGTATTGAATAAGATAGCTGACCTCATGCAGGGCCAAGAATACAACAGATGCTTTTTACATACACCCACTCCCTCATCTATGCCTTTTCCAGTGGTCCCCATCCACATTACTGTTTTTCTGCATGATATGAAAGTTAAGATATAAATACGAGAGTATGTGAGCGTGTGTTTCTGTTTAAGAGATGCCGTAGCTCTGTCGCCCAGACTGGAGTGTAGTGGTACAACATAGCTCACTGCAGCCTCCAAATCCTGGGGTCAAGCAATCCTGCCACTGCAGCCTCCTCAGGAGCTGGCATTATAGGTGTGAGCCACTATGCTCAAATTATTGTGTTTTAATAAGTCATCATTCATTTTAGACCAGTGATTTTCAACTTGGGAATGATTTTGCTCCTAAGGGGACATTTGTTGAAGTCTGGAGACATTTTTGTTTATTACAACTCAGGGCAGGAAATGCTAGCCCCTCAAAACAAAGAATTCTGTAGCCCCAAATGTCAGCAAGGGCAAGGTTGAAAGTCCTGTTTTAGAGCATGTACTTTACATTGGTGTTTATAGTTATTTCCTCATTGGATTCTAAATAAAGGAAGGAGAGGACTGAGAAGGATGTGACCGGCTAAAGACACAGTGGAACAGGAGGTTGGAACAAGTTGGAGGACCCACCTATCAGGTGCCAGGATTCACCCACTCTTTACAAGCACACTGCAGTTTCCAGCTTAAAAACAAGTGCTTTATTAGATATACTCACTAGCAAAACCCCAACCCTGTATAACCCAGCTCTCTCCCCATGCCACGTCTTCACCTACGCTGGTGAGCGCGGCTGAAGGAGCACACATCTCGGTGGGTCCCTGTGGCCCTAGTCTATTCACTCTTCTATATTGGTTGGTTAGCCTCTAAAACAGACAGGGTGGCAGAGGCATGGAGGACTCAGGAGAGCAGTGAGGATGATGAGATGACACTGGAAAGGCTGGGCACTGTGAAAGGGAGATTGCCACAATGCCAGGGGCTTGGGTTTTATCACAAGGGATGGTTGGAGAACAAGCACGAATGGTGCCCTCCAGAGCCAAACTATCCTACTCTTTTCTGTACTGTAATCACAACCTGTTCATACTCCTCTTATCCCTTGTGTCTCTCTGTATTGTGCTACTTACTTGTAACTTGGGCTCCTGAACTGGGCCTTATTATCTTTGCCTTTGTGTGCCCCTTGTGTATAGCACAGAGATTTATCAGTGAGTGTTTATTAAACAGATTTGGCAGTGTTTTAGACACCACTAGCAGCCTCTCAAAATAATTTTCTCCACTTTTGAACATTTGGGTACTATTTGGGTACTATTCCCAAATACTTGTTTCCAATGCAGTTGTTTAGAGCTTGAAATGCATCCTCCTGGTTTTATAAATGATAGGTTTTCAGACTGGTGAGGAAATGTCCCAGCACCCACAGTGTTGCTGAGCCATAGTGCTTAGTAGCTCAGGATGGGGGATTTCCCAGCAAAAGGCCAAGAGAAGAGAGTGCCCATTGCCTTTCTTTGTTGCATGTGGACTCGGCAAATGTGTTCTTTACCATTCTACTGCCTCTCTGGCATGGAACCTCCTCTCGCCTTCTGCTGCACTTTTCTCTTTTCTCATATTCAAGTGGCTTTTAGACTACATGGGTTAAGAGTCTGGGGGTTCCTGTGTTGCTGGACACTGTGGAGTCTGACACTGGAACTCATGGAAGAATTACCACCTTGCTTGTTGTCAGCTTGACTATTTGGTCTTTCAAATGTTGTTTTGCTTTTCATTTCTTCTAAGAATTAGCTTTCTTTTCTCTTTTAAACTTTACCAAAAAAGAAAAGAGGGGAGAGGAGGCACCGGTTTCCCTCAGTGGATATTTCTCTAGGGAAAATTCAGTCTTGTTATTAGGTTCATTCTTTAACTACCCATGCTTTTTACTTCCACTTAGCATATTTTCAGATGTCTACTTAGATACACAGTTCTACAAAAACAGAATTTTCGATTTCAGATTACATTCCTCAAACTCAAATCACACTTATTCTTGGAGAAGTGATCTTTATAAGTGATAGTTTTATTTTTAAGCATAAGAAGCCATGTTAACAAAAATACAGCATATTTCAAGATGAAGACATTAAATAATATAGCTAAATATAACAATTATCACATGTCTGCATACAATGTGGTTTCACCTTTTTTTCTTTTTTTTTTTTGCTGAAAAGACTGTCATCTTCTTGAGGCATGCAACCAGTTTTGTTTTTGCTTAATCCATGTACATTGCACACGGGCTCTAGAGTCTGTGTTTGAGGTGTGCAGGTGCAGTGCTGTTGATAAACCCTAGTTACTGTTATCATTGGTGCGAATGAGTTAGAAGGCAGCAATGATTAAAATGAAGTATGGACATAATTTATTACTACATGCTATTAATGCCATCATTTTTACTTTTCTGCATGTATAAAATTAGGAATAACATATAGGTCTGGTATTTTAAGAGCAAGTTTTAGCTTTTGCTTTTTAACATTCTTTTATTATAGTATTAAAGCAGTAAAGGCTCATTAAATCATCATTTTTCAGTTGCTTAAAATTGGCCAAATCTTAAATAAGTAAACAACAAGATGATCATTTTACCCTTAATTGTTGCAGTTTTAATCCAGTTCAGAATTTTGAAATTGTTTTTTCTTGTGTTTCTTTTCCAGAACACACGAGGTTGTTCTCCTATTTCAGCAGTTGGCCGCAACTTCATTGCTGAGAAACGGTGATTTCAAAGTATTTATTTATCTGGTTTATTCTACATTATTACTCATTCAAACTGGCTTTTAGTTTAACTTTGCATGCATCAGTTGTTGATTTGGAGACTCTGTTTGGGTTAACTCTGCAGACACACAGCTTCTAAGCTGAAAAACGTCCAGGGTATGAGCTAGTCTGATTTGAATTTAGTACCTTAGGTCTTCTGCGATAGAAACGAAGAGGCCAGTGGGTATACTTCCTACAACATGGTGTTTCCGTTTGATTGGTGGTAAGCCCATCCATGGCTGAGCTTTGTAAAGCCTCTGTGAAGTTGGGCTAAATGCCTACTCTGTCTCAATCTCTTTCCTCATCTTTGAGACAGGGATAATAATTGGATAGTCTCATAGGCTTGATAGAGAGATTAATAGGATACACAGTGCTCACTGCCACCACTACCAAAAAGATATGAGGCTCTGTTTTTGGTTATCATTATTCATGGTATTAATAATCTCATTTTGTGCTGATGATAAAGTTATGTTAATAATTCCTTAGTGACCTTGGGTCATCTTCTGTGAACAGACCAAACGCAGAAAAAACCATTCAGACTAAATGAACAGGTTAACACAAAGACATTCTGTATTTTATTTTAGGAATTAGTTTACTACAATGATTATTAGTTTTTATAATGAATCCTGGACTTCGAAGCACTATGTCCACCCATTTGAAAGATTTATTTTACAAACCTCAAGAGTTGTGGCCTGCCCGACTCATATTCATTTTAAATCATTATCCAGTTCCTATATGGCCTGGAAAGGAATTCATCTGGTCTAAGTTTTCCCCATCTTTTCACCAAAGGAATCTTGTAAAGTAGGCCACTGTCTTTTAATTAAATCTTTGCTTCAACTTACTGAGAAATTCCTTCTCTTGCCAGAGTAACCCTTTCCTCTTAGGAGAGCAGGGAGCTATTTCAGGGTTATTTTGGTTCCCCTCTGAGGCCACAGTCTTTCTAAACATAACTGCAGATCCTGGAAATCAGCCTGCCTTTTGTTAGTTAACTTAGGCTAAAGAATCAGTACATTAAGACCTTTGATTATCCACACTCTAAAAACGCCTTCCTCTGATCTCCTAATATTTGACAAGAATCTCGATTCAGGGATTAGACATTTTCTCTAATGCATTTCCATTTCCACTAGAGCTGCTCGCCTTACACACATTATTATAGCCTGAAATGTAGAGCATTTTCCAGTTGGGGGTAATTCAGATTTAACTCAAGAATCTATATATTTTAGAATAGGCATCACATGCTTCTGTAGTAGAATCGCATTCCTTCCAGTTTCTGGAAAGCATTGTGTGGTACTTTTTTGTACGTGGCTGACTTCTTGAGTTTTACTCCATCTGACCTTCCTATAGAAGCTAAGCTTGAGGGCAACGTTTATATTTTATTTTAGTACCTACAACATCTAATAAATGCCTGGAGCATAGTAACACACCGTGGATGCTCTAATTTATTTAAATGAATATATCTCTGACACTGTAATAAAGAAGATAGAATTCATGAAAAGTAATTTATCTCAAGCTGTGCTTTTTTTCTGACTAAATATAAGCATTCTTCTCAACAATGATGCTTTGCTTGTTATTTTTGCTACATTAAAGAAGAGCCACCAAAACCAATTTATGTCCCCTTTCCCTCTTCTGCTGAGATCAGAACTAACATGATGGCTACATTCTTTTGAAACTTGTAATTGTGTGTCATTGCCAGAGTGGAAGTAGATTCAGACAGTATCCGCACCAAATTTAGTGATAATAGTAGCGACTTTATGATGTTTTAATTTGAAATTCAAAATTTAAAATTGCCCCAACCCATTTTCAGGCTTCCAGTGTGCCTGTGCCTTGGAAATATATTTGAAACTTCCAGAGTTGTTCTTTCCAGTTATTAGAAGCATAAGCAAAGCAGGCTGGGTGTGGTGGCTCACACCTGTAATCCCAGCACTCTAGGAGGCCGAGGCGAGCAGATCACTTGCGGCCAGGAGTTCAAGACCAGCCTGGCCAACATGGTGAAACCCTGTATTTACTAAAAATATAAAAATTAGCTGTGCATGGTGTTGCACACCCATAATCCCAGCTACTTGGGGGGCTGAGGCACGAGAATTGCTTGAGCCCAGGAGGCGGAGGTTTCAATGAGCTAGGATTGCCCCCCAAAAAAGAGAAACACAAGCAAAGAGAACACAGAATCAGCAACCGTCCAGGGAGATGTGCACTCCTAAGCTGAATTAACAAATAAGTGTGTTTCTTGAGAGGCCAGAGTTAACACAATTAGTGATGAACTGCATCTTTGAGGAGCTAGGGGAAAATAATGGGATTCATTTTTAATTCAAACCAATTCTAAGCAAGAGCCTTGGCTTTCTGGAGAGACTTTGTAATCAAAGGTTACTGCAGGGCTTGTCAGAACTTTTAACAACTGTCTCCACTGTGAAAATGGTCCTAAGTTGTAAGGTGATTGCAGAGCTGAGGAAATGATGACTCTAGACTCTAGCCAGCTTTTGTCTCGCATTTGATCTTTGGCTCACAAAGACGAGGTTAATTTCACCATAAGCTGTTAGCTTTATTTTTTAAATCAGTCAATTTTAATAGCAGCCTGCTTATGCCCTGAAAAACATCCAAGAGCAGAAAGAAAGAGTTGGCCTGGAATATAAATAAGTGTTACAGTATAAATCTTAGCTGTCTCTAGGCCAGTAGTCAATAAAAATACTTTGCAGTCAGTCTAATTAATCTTTCATTTTCTTTTTGCTATCCTTCCTTGTGTTTATTGTGTGTGTGTGTTTTCTGAACTATAAAAGCATATACATAGTCACGATAGTTGGAAAATTTAATACTGTCAAGGAAGAAAAAGTTTCCTTGTGAATCCATTACCCAAAGAGAACCATTGTTAGCATCTTGGCTGATATTTTTCCCTGAGAATTTTTCCCAAGCAGACATCATAATTTTTAAATTCCTCTTGGTTTTGTTTGCTTTTAGAGACAGGGTCTCAGTCTGTTGCCCAGACTGGACATAGCTCACTGTTGCCTCAAACCCCTGAGCTCAAGAGATCCTCCTACCTCAGTCTTCCAGGTGGCTAGGAGTACAGGCACATGCCACCATGCCTGGCCAGTTTTTTTTATTTTTTGTAGAGATGGGGTGTCACCATGTTGCCCAGGCTGATCTCAAACTCCTGGGTTCAAGCGATCCTCCCACCTTGGCTTCCCAAAATGCTAGGATTGCAGGCATGAACTACCATGCCCAGCCTCATATTTTTAAACTGCTTATGATGAAAAATTTTATACACACAGGAGAGAATCACTGAGTCCTTACATACTCACAGTCTAGATTCACAGAGTATCAGGATTTTGCTACCATGGCTTCACCTATCCCTTTTTTCTTTTTCTCTTCCTCTTTCCTCTTTTGAAATATCAACTAAGCTACTTTTAAGAGGAAAAGAGGACTCCTGATATTCTGAGGACTGTGGAAAGCAAGGATTTGCCTGCCAATTTCACATATTCTCACTCATCCTTTATTAGGAAGCAAAAAGTATGGTTTTACACTTCATATTGTATTGTACTTTGGGAATAAGCCGCCTTAAAGCTCAAGTCTATTGCATGCTAGATGGGTATTGATTTTTCCTCTTAAATCAATGTTTCCCTAGAGCATAGTTTTATTTATTCATAAAGCTAAGATGATGTCTGACAGGAGTTACAGCAGTGTAAATCTGTGGTGCAGGCACAATAAGAAGAGCTTTTGTAAGACTCAAAAATCCATGTTCTGATGCTAGAGGGTATCCTGATAAGCCTGAAAAAGTGCATTTGTGATGCTTTCAAGTGTAAAAGGAACATTTCAGCATATCGTTAAGTTTTACTCCTCTGTTTTCTATGCTATTTTGCAAATGGACCTAAATACATTGTGACTGAAGCCAGGCCATGATTGTGTCTGATGCACAACGGGTTGTTGGAACAGCAGGCTGGATAGAATCAAAGCTTCAGCTGCAATCTCTTGTTGACACCAAATGTCAGCTTGCTCCGGAAGGATGTAGTGGCCCTGTTGATCTGTCCCCTGTAATTTTGCTCCCTGGCCCAAAGGATGGGCACTTCTGCCCAAGGGGCAGTTAACGTGAGAGTGTTCACTTTGGGATACTTCATTCACTTTGGAATAACTCTGTGTACTTGTTGGTGTGTTATAGTACATGTAACAGCTCTCTGTGTAGCTAGGCCATGTAAGTCAAGTGTAATCCTAAAAGGGTACTCCTTTTGTAGATAGATAGATAGATATACACACATACATACACACACATACATATATATACACACATATATATAATACATAGTTTATGCTCTTTTACAAGTGTTTATGATATAAAAATTATTTTTTAACTTAAAAAAATATGCCCTGACTTTTCCCTCAACATTAACTGCTTTTTTTTCCTATGGTTGAAAAATGCTTCTAATGGCTAGAATGGCACCATTTGGAATTTTAAGTGTCCAGTTTTTTATTAGCTGGATTATTAGGTCTGATCTTAGCACAGTAGAACTGGCTGGAGAGTCAGGTGATGTAAAAGCTAGTTTCATTGTCCACTCTTGGCTGCTTTGTGACCTATGGCGACTTTCTGAACTTCTTTGGGACATTTTGTTTATATTGTTGTGTTTTTTTCCTAATTTAAATAACAGTGAGTTTGTGTGAAATTGGCAGATATTCAGTTCTTGATTTCCATAGACTTCCATACATCAGGACTCTTCCATTTGAAAGTAACTAGTTGATATTAAAAAAAAAAAAAGAAAAAGGAGAAAAGGAAGTGAAAAGAGAAAAGAAGAATGCAGAAGTGAGGATTATTTCTTCATGAAGAATAAGGTTTGTTCCAGTTTTGAAAGCCCGTGACTTTCTGTGAAAAGATTTCAGATGATTAGCTCAGCTACCAGGAGCCACACAGTTTTCTTAGAAATTGTGCCATTGAGGACACCAAGGGGGCCAGGGAGGACACAGCGCCAGTTAGAGGCTGGGGCCTTGAACCCCTCCCCCCGAGAGCAGCTGGTGCTCTACCAGGTCTGTGGCTGCCAGGGTGCCCAGATCCCCTTGCCAGAGGCTTGGGAGAAGCCTTGAAGGTGCTATCTCTTTGGATCTCTGCTGTTTCCTCTCCATTGGTAGCTACACTGGGAGCCTCTTCAGAGGAGGGTTCTAGGAATTAGAAGGGAAAGCGTATAAATGCCATTCACTACAGTACCTGTTCACTGCTGGTCACGGTTGTTCTCCTTTGCCTCGTCAGCCTCAGGCATGGAGATAACCTGGTGGCATGTCAGTGTCTTCGAGTTTTTCCCATTAAGCTGCAAGAGCATTGATTGCTATTCACTTCGCGAATGGATGTCTTGAGAAGATCGTAAGAACTGCTTTTGGAGGACCGAGGCTGCGGCCTCTGCTTCAGTAGAAACCCGAGGCGCCTGACATGTAGAGCACACTAGAGGACCTATTTGATGAAGAGAGAGTTGGCTGTTTGGAATCTAACCATTGATGTTAAGGTCTGTGTGTTAGGTTTTCTAACTAGCTTTAGTTAAGTCCTTCAAGGTCTTTTTTTTTTTTACATTCTTCCAATATAATCTGCTATATATTCTTTAATACTATGTTTTTGCTCTTTTAGCATTAATTAATTATGCACTCCTCTAGGGAGCTGATTAGGAAGTCATCGTCCTTGACCCTGTGTTTGGTTGCTTTAGAGCAGGGGTTTTCAGCCTTTCAGGGACCAGGCCACACAGCAGGAGGCGAGTGGTGGGCCAGCCTCCTGTCAGATCGGTGGTGGCATTAGATTCTCACAGAAGTGCGGACTCTGTTGTGAACTGCACATGTGAGGGATCTAGGTTGTGCACTCCTTATGATGATCTGAGTGGAACAGTTTCATCCCGAAACCATCCCCACTCCCACTGTCTGTGGAAAAATTGTCTTCCATAAAACCGGTCCCTGGTGCCAAAAAGGTTGGGGACCACTGCTTTAGAGATCCTCTCGGCTCCCCAAGTCGACCCCAGCGTGGAAGCTAAAGTACTTCCATCTTGTAAGCTAATCTACCATGTTGACTTCTTATGAACGGTTCCAGCAATGCTCTGAGATTTCCAGTTTATCTTTCGTTCCTTGTGTAAGAGCACATACCTACCGTAAATCCTGCCCTTAGAGCAGATCAACCTTGATATACTGGTACTTACTGTAAATCCTGCCTTTAGATCAAATTCCTACTCATTTCCTCTGGAGCATGTGTAACCCTTCCCTGGGCATATAATCCTTGGGTCTGGGGGTCTCATGATGAGGGGATCTACTTGTCTTGTGGCTACCCAAGACCATGCTCCTGTCCGTAAGTTCCCCAGTAAAATCACCCTGTAACCACAAGATGGACTTGTCTGCCTCCTTCTTTGGTTTCTTGACTCCTTCTGTATTTGGGGGTCGCTTTGCATATGTGACCTTCTCATGAAACATCTGGTCATTAATGGAGTGATAGTTTCACAGCCAGACACCTGTCATACCCAAATTACTAACATAAGGCGATTCTGAATGCTGGACTTCTAGGATCAATCACAGGTTCTAGTACTTAAAAAAAAAAACTTAAAAAAAATTTTTTTAGAGACTCCCACTCCGTCTTACGAAAGCTCCATCCTTACCAGTGGAGAAAGAATTTCCCTGTTGGGTCTTTGTGTCTTGCAGGTGGCCAGGGATGCTCACTGAGGCCTGTCCTGTTCAGTCACAGAGAGCTCCAGACTCTTGAGCAAGGTTTAATGAAGCTGTGGCTGTGTTCTGTATTCCTTTTTCATGTCATGAAAAAAGATATTTCTTTTGTGGGCCTGCCACTTTAGGAATAAAAACCCTCCCCCGACTCCTTAGTACCAATATTGCTCTAAGAAGGAAGCACCTGGCTCTCATGGCCTTATCTGAGCCTCGACTAGAAGAGACCACACACGCTGGAACAGCCCTGCCCAGGCCCACCGGGAGAGATGACTCAGTTCCAAATAGGGTTTTCATTTTAGATATTTAAATTCTGAGTTTCTCATAGTTATTCATGACTAAGAAAAGGGGCAGCTCTGCACTATTTGTCCACTTACATATTTCCTTCCTTTCACTTTTTTCATCGTTTTCCCTTTCTCCTTTTATTTAGTAGATTTTTAAAAATAAATAAAATGCTATGTGGCATAGCACCTTGCCAAGCAGGAAATTCTTATAATTTCATAATATTTTCTAAAATAGATTTTAGACCAGCCATAGTGAAGTTTAATTATGGTGCTAATGTGCTTCTGAAGATTCCTGATAAAAGACTTGTGCCCTTAATCCCATCCACTCAAGAGGCCGAGGTGGGAGGATCACCTGAGTCCTGGAGTTTGAGGCTGCAGTGAACTATGATCGCACTGCTGTACTCTAGCCTGGGCAAAGAAATCCCATCTCTTTAAAAAAACAAAAAAAACAAAACCAGATTTCTGTTGAAAGGATAAAGTTAACCCTGTCTATGATGGCTTTAACTATGACAAATCAGCCAGCAGTAAATTAAATAAATAAAATGTTTTCATAATGTTTCATATAAGGCAAGAACCAAAAGATTGAGATTTATGTGAAAAATGAAAAATATCTGATAATGGGATCGCTGGAAAACTTAGAAAATTAGAAATGAGTTTGCGATTTCATTCATGTAATCCTTTGCCATTGCCCATCTGATGCCCCATAGCCCAAAGGCATGCTGCTAATATGATTGTTTACATGTATTTTTTTATAGCTGAATGTATATAGTTTATAAAATGTATATATACCATTAAGATGTTGTTAGACAAGTATTAGGCCAAACAGGTTATGTTTGCAGAAAACAAGTGTGAATGCAAGGAGTTTAGTGTGTTCTTAAACTTCTGCTAACAAAAGAACTCCCATTTACTTTAACAGAGATAAGTTTGCCTCCTGAGTATATGAGAATGTGGCATAGACCACAGATAGCACCTCAGAATTGATGTGAAGTCGTGACTATCGCGATGAGCGTGGGTGCTTTTATAGATAACTGAGATGTTATTAGCTGAAGTGTCGAGAGGGGCTGGATTGTAATTATTGTTGACTCATTTTAAATTGCTTTGTTTTATAATCCCTTAATATAATAAATATGGTAATATTTGAAAATATGCCTCAAAGACACCAAACGTGATGAAAACCACCGAATTACAAGACTAAACTGCTGCCTCCCATTTGCCGTCTGTCATCCTTTTCCCATGAAAGATGGCTTTTATAGGTTGAAAGCATAGAGGATGGCTCCTTCTTGTCATTCAGATCTCTGCTTAAGGGTTACCTTCTCAGAGGGGACTTCCCCCAAGCATCCATAGCTCAGGAAACCCCCCAAGACACTCTCACCTTTCCTTTTTTACCTTTTAAATGTTCCGCATCTGATACTTTGGTGTTAGTCTTTTGTCAGTCATCACCTACAAGGTGCTAAGACCCCATCTGTTTTGTTCACCCTGTGTCCTGAGTGCCTAGAGCTGTGCCTGGCACTGAGTAGACATTCTTTAGATGTTCCATCTGCAGGTTTTCTCCTTTGGACCTACCCCTCTGCCTGACCTTGAGAGCATTTCGTCATCATTGCCTAGAATCAGGCCCTTGTTTTGGAATCTGTGGTACTGTATTCTCTGAATTTCCATCATTAACCAGCCTTTACTCCCTGGTTGCAGCATCTGATTAGTATGATGATAACACAACTACTGTATGTCAACATGATAAGCATTTGTGGCAAGTGAGTCCTATCAAATTTTCCAGCTGCAAGAGAACTTAAGAAAGGTTTTGAGAGGGAAACGTGTAGACATTTAAGTCTTTCCTATGCTAGTGTTAACCCTCCAGATCAGTTGGCCAGAATGTTCTGCTCTGATGGTAGACCTGAGTAATAGCATGTTGTAGCTTCCTTTTTTGGTACTGTTATTTAATTTACCCCCGTGAGTAATGCTGTAAGAAGGAAGGCTTTAAGAACACTTCACTTCTCATCCCCCCATTTCCAGCCCAGTAGCCTGAGTCTAATCTTGTTATGTCTGGGAATAGAGTTACTAGATTTTCTGCTAATGGCTGTATTTTACATGATAATGAATCCAGTCTTTTCTACAAAGTCTACTTCATTTATGCAAAACAGATATAATTTGGAATGTGTATGAATGAAGCTATTCTTTCAAGGGAGCAGAGAGGCTGCTGTAGAGCCTGTTAAATACAATTTTATGGACCCTTATGTCAGGTTAACACAAGCAAATGTTGGTTCTGTGGTTATCAAAGCTAATGCTTATTGGATAGTCTCAGGTAAAACAAAAAACAGCTTTTGAATCTCAGGGCCTTTGCTACTTACTCCCTAATTTAAGCTCAACTTGTTTTCAACCATCTTTCACACTTTGAGTAGTGGCCTCTTATACATTAGTGGCCTCAAAGTATTAGTGAGACTTCTGCTCATTGATTTTCAATAATATAGAGAAGGTATTCCAAACTGGTCCTGGCTATTAACAGAGCAAAGGCAGAAAATTAAATTAGCAGGGGGATATATCAAAAGCCTTTTGTAAGTGCCATAAAGTCTCCAAAATCTAATCCCTGAGAGAAATGTATTTTGTTCTGGAAAGAATAGCTTTCTTCTATTCTGAAATACCTTTCATTTAATAGGAGAATGGATGATTGCCTGTGAATGGAATAGCAAGAATTCTCAATCCTTTAATTTTGCCACCAACTTGCTGTGGTTTATCTCAAAAAAATGATCAACCTATAAGAAAAACATCCGTGGGCTGCTCTGCTCTTTGACTTTTAGGTAGAGTTAATTGTATAGATTAATTTAAAAGTTAGGTATACTAATTAATAGTTGCACATTGCAGAAGTCCTTAGCTCAGGGTATTTATTGATTTTTGTCTTTTTTGAGTTTTATAAAAAAGCTAGATGCCTGAAAACACTGAATTGTTTTACAATGCTAAGTTAAGAATGAGTAACCTTGCCTTCTTACTAATGGACAAAATTTTGATTTTTGGATCTAACGCCAGTGGTCTAGTGCAGAAACACAAATATTTACTTGCTTAATTTGGATGGATAATCAGTTTTTTAAATTTTTTTCAGAGGCAGGGGGTTAAAAAAATACTTAGGCGTTTTGTTTTGTTTTGTTTTGTTTTGTTTTAAGATGGAGTCTCACTCTTTTTGCCCAGGCTGGAGTGCAATAGTGCAGTCTCGGCTCACTGCAACCTCTGCCTCATGGGTTCAAGTGATCTTCCTACCTCAGCCCCCTCAAGTAGATGGGATTACAGGTGTGCACTCCCACACCCAGCTAATTTTTGTATTTTTAGTAGAGATGGAGTTTCACCATGTTGGCCAGGCTTGTCTCGAACTGCTGACCTTAAGTGATTGACCTCCCAAAGTGCTGGAATTACAGGCATGAGCCACAACACCCAGCCCCAAAATACTTAGGCTTTTTAAGCAAGATAAATGTGCTTTAGGGAGACCTTTTTGCAGAGGCTGATTTAGTTTTGGGAAGATAATAGACTCCTTTGAGAAGCTAATGAAT